TTGGCAAATTTGTTTATTTTAAACTAATTTATTCATGTTTTATTAAAAAAACACACTTGATTGTACTTTCTGTAGCAGAAAACCTACATAAAAAACCTATTGTTATTTAATAAAGCTAATTTAGATAAAGTGCAATCAGACAAATGAGAATTCGCTTAGTCTGCAAGTTTGCTGCGACAGGAGTATTTATTTTCTCTGTAACTATTAGGCATTCAGGCGTACAACACTTCTAAATTACTTGTTTGTTAATCCCTACAAAATTGTGTTAGAGAAAATTTAAAAACTTACGGAGAATTCGGATAAGACAATTTTGACTCAATCAAACCAAATTCACATAGTTAGTTAGTATGATTATGCTGGTTCGCGAACTCGTTTGAATAAATGTATTTACACATTTGTACCGGATTTCATCATATCGGATGACTTTTACTTAAGAGTTATCACGCTAAAGGACACATGTTATAGAAAATATTGTATATGAACAAATTAGCTTAGAACGGATGGTGTTATAGTTTCTGGGTACTTGAAAAAAAAAAATCAGTGCCGGGTCTAGGTCTTACCACGAGACCTACAGTAATAGCTCATTCCCTATTTGGGAAATAAGTTGAAAGAGTTAAATTAAAAAAAAAAAAAAAATAGAAGAGGAACTTCAACTACAGAAGATATAAGTTTCCTATTCCTTCATTTAAATAAGCAATTAACTGTGAATTTTTTATACCAAGCACATTTTAGAGAGTCAACCAAAATGGGGGGAGCAATTTGAGATCACCGTTTGCACTCTTCAATGACGATTATTTTAGGCAATGCATTTAAATCATAGTTGAAAAATTGCAAACTTAATAGTATAATTTATAAATAAAGTAAGTTAATAAAAAGCACCTCCTAAACAGGGAATTTGGAATTGATAGGTATCTAAAATAAACCTCTCAAATTTACACAATTCATATGTACTTATAAATTACAGTGAACTATTAACCGGGTGTAGGGAATAATGGCATTTTGCAACCCTCTGTGTTTAGGTAAAAGAACTGAAAGTACTTAAAGGTTGGCGGCCTTGATATTCTAGAAATCTGATTGAAAAAGCTCTTTTTTCACACTGTTTAAACGCTACCTATAACTAAGTTGGAAGTTAAATCAAATAAGTTACAATACTTTTGATAGTAGGGAGAAAGATCAAGCATAGACGGGATCAAAGACTTTTTAAAACATAGACTTTACCTATATCTATTTAAAAATAACATTGATCAATCATAATTTAGGCTAGATCTAACATCAAAGAGAGGCTTGAATTTTTATCACACGTTAGCAATGAATCTTTGTAAGCAGACATTTTTGGCATACAGGTTATTTAGAAACTTACGTTAACTAACTTAGTTTTCTTAATTCTAAGCCTATCCAGTAGGCCTAACATTTAAAAGTATAATTTAAGTATAGGAATTTTCAGTTTTCAGCTTTGTATTCTTGCCAAGTTTTTGGTACAGGTAAGCCTACTTTTTTATTATAGTATTTAAAAAAATAAATCAAACTCTTAAAAGACATGACGCAATCTATCTGACAATAGTCAGTCAAGGATTAAGGATACAAGTATCCAAGTAAGTACTAAAAACTTAAATGAGTCAAGGAGTATTACTAATTATTGTCAACTGGTATTATGTATGGTAACGTACCCTAAGTGCAGTAAATGCAAAATTAGATAAAACATATACAGACAGTTTTGGATTGTTTTGCTTAGGCTTCTTGGTTGAATTTTTGTTTTATTTGAGTGTTCAACAAATATTTTAGAGTTTTTGGTGATAAGTTACCTATCTAGAAAGATTGTGTTAAATTAAAAGAATGGATCAACTTAGGCTTTAAAACCGTAGTGCATTTTTTTTTTAAGTAAGTTAACTAGCCTATAGTAAGACACAATTTACTTTTAACATAGGCCTATTGTTTAACTTAGAGATAAGTTATTGGCAAGTTAAACCGTTCGTTTTACTTATAGCATTATATTTTTTAAATAAGGTTGCAATCTTATCGTTTTCAGCCCTTGCCTAAATGCCAAAGTTGTGTATTACTACAATGATAAGTTTAGGCCTAGGTCCTACACTTCTAAAAGGTTAACTTTGCCTACTTGGTCAAGACCCTAAAAAACAATAATTTCTTTGTATATGTAAATGTAGGTACTTGTAGCTTTAATGGTTTTACACCTCTCTTGCTGCACTTTAGTTTACGTCCTACACTCATTCAAATGAATAAATCGATCAATTGGGTTTATCGATTAAGTTATTTCATTCAATATATCAAGTTTGGGTAAATTAGGTTAACCTAACCTAACTAACGGAATGAAATAATCGATAGGATTGAATAACCTATAATATATTTCTATAACACTATTTAATTCGAATAATTGTAGGACGTAGACTTAAGTGTAGGACGTAGACTTAAGTGCAGCCTTTTTATCTAGCCTAAGTTTAAAATTAGGCTTAAACTTAGGTAGGCCCTACTTATTTGAAAAGATATTGACTGAACACTAAGTTAAGGACAATGTTGGAAGAAATTTTACTAAACCATAACTTAGCAATTTCAAAATGTGTGTCAGACAAATGTATCAAAACGGGTACAGTTTCTTAACTGGGCTATGCTAATATCGATTGAAACTAGCGAATTGAAAATATTGATTAATAATCGATATTTTAAAATCTATTAGGCCTATAAAATTAAACTATCATAACCTAACCTAACCAACCAAACTTGCTGATGGTGAAAAAATCGCGTGAAGGTTTACTAATCGAATCGGTAGTTTCAATCGATATTAGCATAGTCCAGTTAAGAAACTGTAACCATAAAAACCGTATTAGGACTAGGCTATAATATTAGTTTGACTTTTTAGTGAGCTTTCTCGCCATTGGAATGTTATAGTACTGTATAGTAACTTAGTTTAGGCCTACAAGGATCAGTCCAAATTTTTCTGTTTCATTAAAGTTGAAGTTAAAGGTCTAAGTTACATGTGGGATATAACGTTAATTCCAGCTTAATGAAAATATGAAGTATCGTTGATTTGGGCCATAAATCTTTCTAGTCAATCTGACATTTCATTGCAAAATTTTTAGGGTGTGCCATGTGAATCAGTGTGTTAGCCTTGGGAACATGGTATTCTAGAATGATGACAAATGAGCGTAAAAAATAGTAGTTACCTGTTTGAATCCATTTTCTTGTGGATAGGAGTTTCACTTAGGCTATTGTTTGAAAATTCGCGTGTCAACATACCACGAAAACGATATGCTCTACGAGAAAATCGACTAAAACACAACACCGCAAGCGCACAGATCACTCTCAGACAACAGCTGAGCTGCAACGGGCGGCTGCTTCGGTTGTGAAACGTCTTTTATAGACTCGGCATTAGTGACGTTGGAGGCTCGTGAGGTACGGTTGCAGTTTTGCAGTGAGTTCATTTTGAGAGGATACTACATAAAGTGTGTTGAATGTGCAGTATTATTTATGGTTGGAGCTGCTGCAAAATTATCGTAATGTTTGTTCATGTATAACAAATAGCATCGAACCAATTAAATTATATTATATTTGTTATTTTGCCATATAGACAATAGACAATTCTTTATTCCGTTAAACAATATACATTGCATTAGGAAAGGTCAGTACAATTTCAACGCATTAAACTATAATACAGTCATCATTATGAAAACATTAAACAAAAGTTTTACAATTAAAATAATCTTTGGTGGAGAAAAAGGCATTTACTTTAAGGAGTACAGAGATGGCTGACTTAAATTTGACATAGTTGAGATTTCTTAATTCTAGTGGTAACTTATTGTATAACTGTAACTGTTGGTACAAATGACAATTCAAGGTTTTACTTTGCCTAACATGTGGGGTGGACAGATCATTTCTATTTCTGGTTAAGTGTACATGACAGGAAGCTTGTGTAGAAAAAGAGTTGATATTTTGTTTTACATGGAGGAGGTTACTAAAAATATACAAAGAAGGGTATGTTTCTAAATATACAAGACTGTGTATGTCGGTTATATCAGAATATATATCCCTGAATATATTAGACTACTAACTAAAACAACTCTTCTCTGTTGGACACAGACCTGCAACTGTTTGTCACATTACTTCAAGGGTTGGTTAAGTATATGCTTAAAAACAGTCAAGTATCCTTGATCACTGGGCTTTCAATAAAAATGGTCCTCCGAGCTCGCTACCACGGCGGGAGCGAATTTTGAATTTGAATATCACCCACCATGTTATCAAATGGGCCAAGTCACACAGTATTACCACGTGCTGTTGTCCACCACGACCGCTTCGCTTGCTGAGCGATCTTTTTGAGACTGCCTTGACGGTGTAGTTTGTCTAGCTCATGCGCAAAGGTGCATCTCAGCTCGAATGGTCAAGCCATTTTAAAGTTTGAAAACAATGCAGTTTAATACAGTTTCAAATACAATTTTACAAGTTTCTTTTGTTTGTTGTTGTAATAATAAAAAAATAATTATGGTTTGCTCTTTACTGTACTAACAAAATCAATAAACCATTTAATTGCTTCCAAAAACACTTTTACTACTTAAAAAATTACAGAAAATTTACATGTAATCCTAAATAGGTAAGATTTGTTTATTATGTTAAACGAATTAAAATGAAAATCAGCTCAAAACTCCCGCCGCGGACGTGGCTGGTTTGGCATGGCATGGCATGGCTCCAGGTAAAACGTCCGCACGCGATGGTATAGTGGCGGATAAAATTATATGGCTTGCACGCTTAGTATATTTTATAACTATATCATGGCCTTTTCTTGTCCTCTAATCTTATACATGTATCAGAGAGTAATATACTTATTTACTGTATAGATGATCGTTGGGACTAGTGTAGTGATGACTTTGCAAGTTCTTCGCATGTTGTACTTCATGTAGCATTAGTAACAGCTGACAATAAGCCGCTCTGCCCGCTCAGCCGGTTTCTGCAACGCAACGCAATAACAACAGAACGAGTACGAGAACACAACAGATTGTTTCAGATTCTGCTTTTACCAACGCCTTTTTTACGTTCGTCCGTTTTGTTCCTCTAGTTTCTACCTTCTGTACTGTAACTACTGTATTGTTTGTTGTTTGTTATCCTGGTAGTTGTCATCCAGCTTGATAGTTAATATGTGTAATTTTCGTTTAATTTTATAACAATAGTTAGTGATATAATCGTATAACAGACAGTTATGAAGCTCTGCGTGGTGAACTCACTCATTTTATCTATTTTCATTCTGATATGTTGTGAAAATTATGTTCAATCAGCATCTACTGATATCGAACTTGATGCCAAAGCTCAATTAACTCATCGCTTGGACAGTCTAAACCTTTTAGTGTACACCTTTTTACTCATATTAACAGTTTTGACAATATGGTTATTCAAGCACAGAAGGCTTCGTTTTCTTCACGAAACAGGACTTGCAGTGATTTATGGTAGGCCTAACTTAAGCAAACTAATATTGTAAATATGTTTTTTTACTCCCCATTCTATCTGGGTCCTAGTATGCAGCTGTACAAGTGTCTCCCTAAACTTAAACTGCAATAGGCTAACAAGTTGGTAATAGGCATGAGCATCAATAGGTCCACCATTGATGTTTACCATTGATGGTAATCCATAACATTGTCGCGAAAACATCAATGTCACTGGGGCTAAAATAGCGATCTGTCATGGAAAACATTGATTTATTTATTTCAATAGCTACTTGGCCAAAAACATCAATGTTGGACAAAAACATCGACGATACAGAAACATCGGTATTCTGAGACCATCGATGTATAAAACATCGAACATCGATTCTCCAAAAACATTGACAGTAGATGCACATTCCTAGTTGGTAATTTGTCAAAAAGTTTCGATGGACTTTTATAAGTGAAGCGATGCTAACAATCACATGTGTCCTCCTAAACTACTGGTTACGCTTCTATAGACAATTGTGTTAAGTTTAATTCATCTAGAAGTTTTACTGTTCTTTCATAATCAAAGCGATGAAAACAATCATGTATTGATTGGCTTCTACTGTTTATATCCTAACTTAACTCAACACATGAAAATACCATGGAGTTAAACTTAACTTAGGCCTAATAGGTATGTTTTAAATTCCTTAATAATTTGCAGTTTCACATAACACTTAAATAAATCCCTAACTTAAATCAATTTACTGTCCATAAAACATAATATCACTTAAACAATGCATGGACAAAATTAAGATGCATAGTTTCAATAAGATGAATAAATAAAAATAGGCTAACACAATAGTTTGAGGGAACATTCAGTTTAAGTCTAGGCCCAGAGTAGATGGGTAGGCCTACAGTTCAGCAGAGAACCTACGATAGACTATATTAACTTAAGTTATCGGATTTTAATAAAAATTAATGTTATGATTCGGTTTGATATAAATATGGTATTGCATTGAATTTAATTTTACCATAGGCCTAAATAAAAACAATAACAAAACATTTACCAAAGTTGATTCTTTAATTTATCCTTAGTTTAATTTTACATTTTTTGGACTAAAAATGGAAGAAACCATAAGTTAAGTTTTTGTAGGCCTATTGTATGCGGTAATTAGGCTATACAGCACATATAACAGTAACAAATTCCCGGGATGAATTTCTGTAGGCCTAGACATTTAGCGCGATCGCCAGCGTGGAATTCGCCTTGCGCAGTAGTTGGTATGACTCCTGGGGAGGGCATATCGGTTGTGGGGGTATAGCTGATGAGTTGTAGTGCAGCATTGGTAACTTTTTTAAGCACTTTTTGTGTAGGCTACCTGCAAGTCGGTTAATGTTGGTCGTGTATCACAAACTGAGTGGCACAAACTTGGTAGAGGGTCGTAGAGATAACATCCTCTATGTAAATTTTGATGACTCCCCGATCTGAGGATTGTGGCAAGAAAGTATTTTTTTCTTAGGCTATATAACTCCTAAACGAGTGGCTTTAGAGAAAAATTTTGAAGAATTAAACCTTTTTTAAATTGCATGCTCCATCCAAAACATAGGTGGTAAGAAATGTTCAAGTTGGCTGCCATATTGGAAATGGCGACTGAATTTCAAAAAAATAAATTTATCTTTTACTTCTTTTTCTTCTTTACTGCCACAAAATATAAAGGAATGTCTCTGTTTTAAGTTTTTTCTAATTATTACCGTTTCCGATATCCCAATGGTCGCCTCCTTGAGTTGATCACACTGTATAGTAAATGCTCAATGGTATTCATTGGAATAGGCCTATCCTTTTCTGTTGTAGCCTACTGTAGTATATTTAATGATTTTATGTATTCAATATTATAGTTGTAAAACAGCGTTTCTTGTAGGAAACCAGATTTGTATAAAATGTAAGTGTGTGTTAGTGTGTGTGTACATCACGCCACGTCTGTGACGTCATATCAGGTGATTTTTAATAAATTCCCATTGGCTGCCGCGATCACGCTATACCCGTGCATCTAACCACTACGTCAGTCCGTCCTAGTCCTGCAACCGTACACCTTGGTATTATCTAATTATGTAGTTTTTATTTCTCACTAGTCCCGTCTCCTGTCAAGTTAAGACGTCGTCACACTGGCGACGTCACACTGGCGACGAGGAAGTTACAGTGATAACGATGGCGTTATTAAGAACCTAATTATTCGTGTGTGCGGTGTAACTGTTCGACCGTATTTTTATAAGTATTAGGGTTAATGTCCGATTACGACAACCCAGTGTTAATTTTATCTCGTGTCTTCTTTGAACAAGATACAATGTCTGGAATCATCGGCGGAATCGGAGACTTTGACGGGAGTGAAGAATCTTGGACCTCGTACGTTGAAAGGTTTGAGTTATTTGTCGAGTGTAACGGGATTAGTGATGCCAAAAAAGTGAGTACTTTATTGACAGTAATCGGGAAGAAAACGTACAATCTGTTACACAATTTGTGCACGCCCGATAAACCTAACGCGAAATCTTTTAAAGATATAGTAAAGTTAATTCAGGATCATTTACATCCTAAACCATCATTCATCGCGGAACGTTACAAGTTTAGTAAACGCAACCAATTAGAGGGGGAAGGAGTTGCCGAATACGTAGCAAATTTGAAGAAGATGTCCACGCACTGTGAGTTTGGCGCATCGTTGAACGACTTTCTTCGAGATCGTCTAGTTAGTGGAATAAGAAGTGACACTATCAAACAGAAACTGTTATCAGAGTCCAGTTTAACGTTTGATCAAGCTGTGAAAATCGTCTCATCAGCGGAAGCGGCGGAGAAGAATGCAGCGGCGTTGACGGTCGGCAGCAGCGGCGGCAAGGTGTTGCGAGTGGCAGCGGCACAACGACGACGAGATTCAGGGAGCAGCGGCGGCGCCCAGCAGCACAATCAAGCGTCAAAGTCAACACCTCGACCTCAACACAAATCAGTGCAGTGTTTTTGTTGTGGTGGCTTCGGTCACATGAGAAATGAGTGCAGATTATTGGGTGTTGTGGTATGCCATTTTTGTGGAAAAAAGAATCATTTATCTAAAGTGTGCAGATCAAAGCTGTTAGGTAAGTCAAACAAAAATAATATTTTTAAGAATGATAAGAACAATTTGAAAACTGAAAGGACTAATGGACAGTTTAGTAAAAACAACAAAATGCATAACTTTGTTTCTGACAGGAAATCTCAGATAAATTCTAATGATAGTTGTGATGAGTATGTTGACGATATTTCTACACTATTTCAAATTGAGGACGAAATTGAGGTAGATAGGCCTAATAATAGTAATGTCAACGTTAAAGTAGCTCCACTTAAAATTGATGCTATTGTAGAAGGTAAACAAGTCACGTTTGAAGTTGACACTGGAGCTAGTGTCAGTGTTTGTAGTGAGGATTTTTACAACAAAAATCTGTCATTTTGTAAATTACAGCCTAATGATCTATCCTTAAGTTCGTATACTAACGAACCTATTGTCCCTATTGGTAAAATAAAAGTGAATGTTAGTTACCAGGATTTCAAGGATAACCTAGATCTGTATGTGATTAAGAAAGGCGCACATCCATTAATGGGGCGTAATTGGCTTCAAGCATTAGGGGTAGCCTAAATATATCGTTCAAAACCAATTTGTTGAGTGACAAAAATTTTAAGTTGTTATCACACAATGAGCAGTTTGACAATATCGTAGTTGAGTTGGAAAAAGAGTTTCCAAAAGTTTTCAGTAACAAGTTAGGTCAGTACAAGGGAGATCCTGTAGAGCTTAAGTTAAAAGAGAATGCTACTCCCAAGTATTTCAAACCTAGACCGATACCTTTTTCGTTGAAAAGTAAAGTAGAGGCAGAGTTAGAAAGATTACAAACTGAGGAAGTTTTAGTACCTGTAAGTAGCTCATCTTGGGGGACGCCTATCGTCCCAGTTTTAAAGAAAAGTGGGGAAATTAGAATCTGTGGGGATTTTAAAGTAACTTTAAATCCATTCCTAGAAGTGGAAAAATATCCTCTACCTAGAATCGAGGAGCTTTTTGCTAATTTACAAGGTGGACAAACCTTTAGTAAAATTGATCTCAGTCAAGCTTACATGCAACTTAAATTAAATGACGAGTCAAAGAAATTATGCACTATCAGTACTCATAAAGGGCTATTTTCCTATCAGAGAATGCCATATGGCATCTCATCAGCTCCTGGCATTTTTCAAAAGGTCATTGAACAGACACTCCAAGGCTTGGAAGGTGTGGCAGTATTCTTGGATGATATTTTGATTACAGCTAAAGATACTAACACTCATTTGAGTAGGTTACGGGAAGTTCTTACACGGCTAAATGATAAAGGGTTTACCATCAAAAAAAGTAAATGCAAGTTCTTTTCAGACAAATTAGAGTATTTGGGATTTTGTATCGACAAGGAAGGTCTCCACACCTCCCAAGCCAAGGTTGAAGCAATAGTAAAAGCACCTGTACCTAAGAACGTAACTGAAGTAAAAGCTTTTATTGGTTTAGTAAACTACTACGGAAAATTCATTCCTAACATGTCTACCATTCTGAGTCCTGTATATAATTTGCTTAAGAAAAAGGTTCCATTTAATTTCAATGCCCCTATTCTTGCTCATTATGACTCGAGTTTGCCTGTAATATTAGCAACTGACGCAAGTTCAACAGGGCTAGGTTGTGTGTTAAGTATCAAAACAAGTGAAGGAGTAGAGAAACCTGTTGCGTATTTTTCACGTACTTTGTCACCCACTGAAGTTAAGTATAGTCAGGTAGAAAAAGAAGCTCTGGCCATTGTTTTCGGTGTTAAAAAGTGTAACCAGTACTTGTATGGCAGAAGGTTTACCTTATGTACAGATCATAAACCATTAATAAGTATTTTTGGCCCTAAGAAGGGGTTGCCAGTTTTTGCAGCTAGTAGGCTACAAAGATATGCTTTGTTTTTGTCAGGTTACATTTTTGACATCAAATATGTTAAGTCAGTAAGTCATGGTAACGCAGACGCTCTGTCACGATTACCACTACAAGTTCCACATCCGATGGAAAGTACTGATTTCCAATGGCAAGGCACATATTTAAATTGTATTTTTGAAAGCTCAGTGCCACTAACCTTTGAACACGTTAAAGTCGAAACGCAAAAAGACCCTATTTTACACAAAGTGTGTAGCTATGTCCTGCATGGATGGCCTAGTTTTTTGCCGGAAGAGAGAGGTGATATGTTACCTTATTTCCAAAGGAAGGAAGAATTGACTGTAGAAATGGGCATTTTAATGTGGGGTTACAAAGTCGTGGTTCCTAATTCTATGAGGGATTATGTTTTAAAAGAGTTACATTGTAGTCATATGGGAATCGTAAAAATGAAGTCAGTGGCAAGGTCGTATATTTGGTGGCCAAATATAGACCAAAACATAGAAGCCTTAGCAAACAGCTGTTCTTCCTGCCTTATGGAACGTTCTAACCCAACTAAAAGTTTCTTGCATAATTGGCACTATCCATCTAAGCCTTGGGAAAGATTACATCTGGACTATTTTGGACCAATAAGAGGTAAAATGTTTTTAATTGTAGTAGATGCTCATACTAAGTGGCTGGAGGCTTTTGAAGTAGGTTCCACCTCAGCCAAACAAGCAATTGTACATTTAAGAGATTTGTTTGCTAGATTTGGTTTGCCAGTAACTTGTCACAGTGACAATGGTCCACCATTCACATCACTTGAGTTTAAACAGTTCCTAAAGTCAAATGGAGTAATACAAACATTCTCACCTCCCTATCATGCCCAATCAAACGGCCAAGCCGAGAACTCAGTAAGATATGCTAAAACTAAGCTTAAATGTGCACTAAATGACAACACTGATTTTAATGTTGCTCTAAGTCGTATATTGTTTGACTATAGAAACTCCGTGCATGCTGTTACCAATGAAACTCCAGCTATGCTGATGTTTAAACGTCCCCTAAGGACCAGGTTAGATTTGCTAAAACCTAACTTACCAAGTCATGTTGAGTGTAAACAAAACAAACAAAGAGAGTATTTTGGTGGCAGTAAAACCAGAGTTCTGTACCCAAATCAGTCTGTATTAATTAGAGACTACCGCTCAAAAGATAAATGGGTAGAAGGTACTGTACATAAAAGATTGAGTAATGTTTTGTATGAAGTTAGACTAAGTTCAGGTGTTGTTTGGAAGAGACATATTGATCAATTGGTAGGTTTGCAGGGAAGTAGTAACAATGACAGGAATGCGCAACCTGAAACCGTGTGTGAGCCGGTAGTAGTACCATCAGCTGATCCCCCCAAAACTCCGTTACAGCAATCCCACTCCCAATCTAAAAATAGACACAGCGTAACCAACAACCGATCACCTGATCATAGTACTCCTGCTACTAACACGTCATACTTCCTTCCCCTCCTCACCTAGCACTCCCATGGTCCGTTCTCCACAACAATCGCCCATTGTACATCCCCAAACACCTGTTACTACAACAGCACGTAGATATCCCAGTAGAATAATAAAACCAGTCGAACGCCTTGATTTGTAAAAATTGTATGTGTGATTTTTGAAGTTTGTTTTTGAAATTAATAGTTTAGTTTTACTTGTTTTAAACTTTTATATTTGCTGAGATGTGTATAAAAATTACACGGGAGGGATGTAGTATATTTAATGATTTTATGTATTCAATATTATAGTTGTAAAACAGCGTTTCTTGTAGGAAACCAGATTTGTATAAAATGTAAGTGTGTGTTAGTGTGTGTGTACATCACGCCACGTCTGTGACGTCATATCAGGTGATTTTTAATAAATTCCCATTGGCTGCCGCGATCACGCTATACCCGTGCATCTAACCACTACGTCAGTCCGTCCTAGTCCTGCAACCGTACACCTTTATCCCGGTCCGTGCAGCCCGTGGTATTATCTAATTATGTAGTTTTTATTTCTCACTAGTCCCGTCTCCTGTCAAGTTAAGACGTCGTCACACTGGCGACGTCACACTACTGTATTTTGTAATTTGCTAAGTTACATTCCGTTTACAAAATTTAGGCGGTTTGAGGGGAAGTTCCCCATTAGGCTACTGATTTTACTTAATATATATACGGCGCAGCTGATTTACATTTTGGCAAACCACAGGCGTTGAGTTTTTATTTTCAGAGGTAGGTTCAAGTGGAGGAGATTGATTTTTCCCCCTAAAACTTTAAAAATTTGGTGAACGGAGTATAGTATGTGTCACCCTACTGTAGATGGTTTGTTACAACCATATGTTACGAGTCCTTTGTTTATATTTACCTTTTTAATTCAAAAAACCATTCATGACTACTTGGCAAAACCTAAGGTCAATGTTAAAAATAATAAAATTTTCCCATTTACAGAGCTCAGTATTTAAATAATTATTTTTAGCAACAAAAAAATTTCCAACAACTTACAGGAAGTCATTGGAACCGTTTTTGAAATAATTTATTGCAAAAACATTACTTGTATACTGTAATAGTATGATCAATTTTACTCCTAGACTACAATTTTATATGTGAACTAGCTGGCCCGACAGACGTCCTGTCCTAATGTGGTTTTATGTCAAATGTTGTTCATTTTCAAGATAGCTCGTTCGCATGGCTCAATTACGTCTTGGTTGATGTTCGTTCGCTACGCTAACTCACCTTTTGGTTGAAAATTAGCTGTTGTCATAAATTGAAAAAAATAATAGTGCTGCACCCTGTTGGTAAACCTATTAACGTTTTAATGCTATTGAACATCATAGAATTAAATTCTTTAGTTGAACCAGTTGTTAAGAATCTTAAATTCCATTTAAATATGAGTACTCATAAGGTTAACATGGAAAACTCCTCTGGGGTCCACTGGGGCGGAGCCCTTTTGACGGATCTGCACCAAACTTCACACAAACCATCCTTGAATAATGCTTAATAATACCTGAAAGTTTCATTACAATATGTCGAGCGGTTTCGGAGTCCATAAAGGACAAACATACATACATACAAACAAACATACATTGGATTTTATATATATAGATGAACAATAAACTCTCAATGAACTGGCAATTTCATTCAGCTGTTTAATTAACTGCTATTTGGATAATTGAGCTATTATGGATACCTATAGTTTGAAAACCTACAACTACAACTTAAAAGAACACATATTGTTGCGAGCTGTAGTAGGCCATAATTAAAAGTCTGGTATTCTCAGCTTTTATCTATATTGTAAACAAGTGAACAATCTTTGCTTATCACTCAAACAGGTCACTTATACTTGCAAATGGAAATTCATATGATTCAATGTATTTTTTATTATTTTGCTATTGAGTATAGCAATTTGTTATCTTAAAATTAAATTTTATTTAAAAAATCAATTCAGACTGAGCCGTATGCAGTTATCCTATGTACACTAACTATATTTTTCTCTATGGGCCTAAAAAAAAAAAAAGAAATAGCTACCAAAAGTAGACCGTTTATGCATGAGGGGCCTTTGTTATCTACCCACTTAAATATTATCAATGATAAAATAATGATGATATAGTGATAAAACTAATCCTGAAAACTTTCAGATTTAACAACTGCTGATTAGTGATTAGAGATACAAAGAGATTACCTGGGCCTGGGTTCAAAAAACATGTTATGTAGCCGTTTTAATTACTGTAGAGATAGCCCAAATTTATGATGTAGGCTACACATATTATTATTTCCTTTATGTAAAACATACTTGCTCTATTGAGAATAGAACTTAAAAGTGGAAAGAATCTGAAAATGCGAAAACAGATATACAAATGTGTTACAATAATCTACCTACTGTTACCTACTTAAAGGGAAAAGGGCTAGACATATTTTTCAGTAGCTTAAAAGGGGTGGGAATTACGGACTAAAAATAACCAATAACTACTCTGGTATAGTTGTTTTGAAATAACTGGTTGGTTAGTAACTTTCAGTGCTATTAGTTAAATTAATATTACCGTAATTAATAAAAACCATCCTCAGAACACAAGCTATCATGGTTATTTATTTGAACAGTTAAAATCTTCATGTATTGATAGCCTTAGGGTATAAACACACATACAGCCTGTTCACAAATCTCATCTTCCATTGTCGCCAGGTCTGATAGTTGGTGCCTTGATCCGCTACGTCGGCAGTTCTACTCCAGTGATCCATATGGCGGTGGTGCCGGTGAAGGCAGACAAATACAACGAGTCACTTCCTCCTGACTCCCTGTGGCTACAGTTCTCCAACAAGGGGGGATCTGGCTCTGAAGTCAACAGGACGTACGCTTACGGCTTCCGTGGCGAAGTGGTTCATTTGGAGACTAATGAGATGGACCTGAAGGTAATACTGACGATTTAAATGGTTTTTTAGCGACAGTAACACACCTTTATAATCAATCAGTGAATGTCATCCTAAGATGTTTTGGGTTGAGAGGCAAATGCTGGGTAAGTCATGTGCGTGTCAGATTTGGCATTTATGGAAGTTCGTACTAAATGTATGCTATGTAATTATAATTAGCAAATAATTAATCTTAAAATTTTCTAGTTTTTTGGCAAACCCACTCACTTTAGATAAGGAAAATGTCTACTAAATTTGAATTAACCTAAATAAAACAAACATTGTGAATGAACCTTGACAAGTTTTGGACAAACCCTCAAAATGTCATCAAAGTGCGATAAAATGAAGAACTTCAATGATGATCTGAGGCCTAGATTTGTGCCGCCTTGCAATTCACTGACATAGCTCAACTTTCCATTTAAAATTCGCTTATAGGCTACATTATGTTAGAAAAGAATTTGATTTGATCATTTATGGCGTAGCAAAATGTCACAATAAGCTACACACAACAAGTGCATCTAGGGCTATTACTCCGCCAACCCTGACCCCCTTACATATGGCCTTGGTAAATACCCCCAGGTACAGTAGAATGACTTCTCAGATAGGCAGCCACTTCCTTACCTAGAGGGTCAATGAATACAAGTGGTGTGTAAATATTTGTGTTGGTGGTTTGAAAATTAAAATCAAATATTTTGCTTCTGGTTGGAACTACTTTAGGCAATGATTGTTTAAGATGATTGCCTCCAATCGTTCTTTGTAGTAATTTTCTTGTAATAATTTACACTGTTTAGGTTTGGTATTTTATGAAAACACTAATTATATCACATAAGTTAACACATTTTCAAGATTTAGCCTAAGTAAAACCAATTGAAAGATAGTAAATTTATATTTTAATCTGTTAAAAAATTAATTCGACGTAGGCCTATTTCATTTCTTTCTACACAAGAAAATTCTACTGTAAAGTAGTGACACTCTTCTTCATTGTTATCAATGTTATAATTTAGTGCACACTTTTTTTTTATTTGAGTTGAGCACTAACACATTTTCATTGCAATATATTTTTACTCTTGTAAAAACATTAATAATATTATCCTGACATTTTAACCCTCCAACTGGCAATGGGCGAACTCTGTACTGGCAAGGCATTTTTTGGGGATTTTGCAGTCATATTTTCAAAAATTCATATTAACTAAACTAACAGAGCAAACCTGTTGAACCATAAACTTGAATACTTGAATTGTTCGTAATAAAATGAAAATTTTGAAAATGGCAGCGGAATAAATATTTAGAACAGTATGTTGTGCTATAAGTAATGTCACATTTCAGTCAAGGCACAATAAATAATATCCAAACTAAACATTTGTAACTTACAACTTGTAATCACGATGTAAACTAGTACCTATTTGGTCAACAGAGATTGAGGTTAGTTTCACGAAAAGTAACAGCTGATAACTTCAGCACCAGTGGTGCAATCTAAAACAATTAAATACCACAATGCACCGAATTTCATGAACTTTCGAATGAGATACATTATCATATGGATAATCTATTATATTATTAAAGTGATACAATGTAATTTTATGTAAATGGTTAAGGTCATTTACCAAATAAAAATATAGGCATATGGCACTTAAAAATGAAGCTTAGAGTATGTAGATTTGCCGAAAAGTATTGATATGGACGGATTTCCTTAGGGCTCTGCCCCACAGGCTGATTTCCAAAGGCCTGACATACTTTTAATGTTTACACGATTTATTTTAATTTAGTTAATGAAACAGCTGGTCAGTACAATGAACTGGTGTTTGTTTATTTACTCGAATAAGATGTTTGTGACGCTTTATGTAGATTGAGGAGGGTTATGTTTGGTTTTAAAGTGAGGTTGTATACATTTTGTAAAGTATTGCTCAAAGCTTCATTTTTTTATTTATATAGTAAGCTGCATGTGAAGAGGCTTGAATAAAATTGGAGAAAATTGTAAAACATGTCATTCATAAAGCATCAATACGAAGCAATAATTGATGCTATTGCTACACTAAGGTATGTTGTCGTATTCTAAGGGATCTATTAACATCAAAAGTAGGGGTTTGAAAGTAAGTAGGTTTACGCTTTTAAATCAGTTTATATTTTCAAACTAAATCATAGAGTTGCTGTATTTTAAAACACACATCAGTACCACTTAAATAGCTCCCTAGGTCACATTTTCTTCCCGTTGCAAAGCACGGGTATAGTAGCTTGTTATATATATTTTAGTGAATAAAATATGTTGTACAACTGCTACTATTATAGTTGCACTGCCACTTCACGGACGGTGGGGCACACGGAAGATTTCTCAGGTGCCGTTTGACGTCACTAACTGCTGACGTCACTAACTGCTGCGTCTGAAGAAACAGACAATTTTATAATTTTCTATTATTAAATTAAACTGTCATAACCTAACGGAACTAACCAAACGTGCTGATAATGGAAAAATCGAATAAAGGTTTACTAATCCAAAAAATAGTTTTGTTCATAAAATAAAATTATAATTGCCTAAAATTCAATTTTATAATTTTTTAATTATAAAATTAAACTGTAATAACCTAACCAAACCAACCAAACTTGCTGATATGAAAAAATTGCTGATAAAAAGTTAGTGCCGCCGGCGGGATTCGAACCCGGACCATTCGTATTATTAGCCCTCAACGCTATCCACTGCACCACCGAGGCCGATGGCTCAATGCCGTATCGTTGCGGTATTGGTGTTCCCTCAAAGTGACGTCAGCAGTTAGTGACATCAAACGGCACCTGAGAAATCTTCCGTGTGCCGTTTCGCTTCACGGACACGTAAAAATTGATGGATTTGTTTTTGTTGTTCTGAGATCATATGTAATTTATCAAAATTAATGTTTGTTGTTATATACAGATTATTTTATTTGTGTTAAAATATGTTAGATTTTTCGTTATCTGTAACATACATTTTAGTTCTGTGGTGCATAAGATTTTCGTTTAGTCTGCCAAAATTAAATGGCATGGCATTTCTTCTCTAATTTGTAAAGCTTGAAATTATCTCTAAAGAGAATTTTAACTAGTTTTATTGGCATCAGCTTTCTTTTATAATTGTGAAATCTATGTAATGTACTGATCACCTGAAAATATTCCTACTTTCTACTAATTGGTCAAAACTGTTTGTTCCAGGCTACTTTCGACCCAGAGATATTTTTCAACATTATCTTACCTCCAATTATATTCCATGCTGGTTACTCATTGAAAAGGGTGAGTTCAATATCTATAAGTTATATAAAATACAGTCATATGCGTTAAATCATGTTTTTGGTTACTTATTTTATAATACATAGCCGAAATGAGTCTTATATCAATATCTGTATGTATTTTTTTTCTATTTGTGACACTCAAGATGGCAATAAGTACTGTATGTTTATTTGTTAGTTAAATATTCCATTGGATATATATGTTATGTTCTCATATCAGTGGTGATACCTGATCTGTTTAATTTAAGTAGCTCTAAATTAAAAACTTTTTCAACTGTTTCTATAGCCCTACTGCAAAGCATTTAACATAATCTTATCACTGTAATATGGTTTAATTTAAAATTTCTTAACAGACAATACTATACAATATATTGCAAATGTAATTGTTATGTTTTTGCACACATATTCAATATTGTTGTGCAATGTTGTTATCTTTCCACATCGTTCATCTGTCAATTATCCATTTCATTGCCAGATTTTATCTTGGCAGTTGATTTCAGCCTTTTGGACAGGTTGTTAAAATACTGGGACAGTTAAATACATTATTTTTCCTACAGTCACCCGACAAAGTTGGCTTCCTTGTACTGTTTATAGTACAGAAAGCTTCTAATTGCTGCATATTTATACTTTGCCGTACGGTTTATACTTTGCCGTACGGTTTATACTTTGCCGCACATCAGGATTCCAACGAAACAACACAAAACAGCGTGGTTCTATTATACACGTAATCCGTGTACGCTTGGAAATAGGTTGGCAACACTTTAAAATAAAAATACTATGAGCAGCTGATTGACTATTATAACTACGATTTAACTGTCATTTCGTGTTTATAGTTTCGGCATTTCTGAACTTTCTGGACTTTTCTTTTAAACGTTTTTAAAACATTCCTACTATCTTAATAAACAAGAAAATCCCTTTAAAGCATTTTTTTTTAGGCACGGAAACCACTTCAAATTACAAAGTCATACGGAACTATATTCTCAAAACGCGGAGCAAAATTCTTGCCGAGGAAAAATAGCGGAGTGATACGGACCGCGGGTACTACTTTCTCTAGGGCACCATTTGTTTTGCCAGCTGAACCTCAAAACGTGTTGTATAGTGTTTGAAAGACTAATTAACTAATTATTTATATGCTTTATAGGGACTGTAGGAAAAATATAATGTGTAACACGAGTGAAAAAGGCCTTTGCTGCACTCGAGATCATTCCGCACTCGCCTGCGGCTCGTGCGTAAACATTGCTCTCGTGTGCAGCAAAGTGCCACTTTCACCACTAGTTACACAAATAACTATTGTTGTACTGCAGCAAAAAACAGCTGTTTTCAATTCTTGTTATGCAGGGTCAAAGTAAAGTTTATTCTTAATTAATTTTCTGACTGAAAAATTTGTCGCCAATTTTAAAGTAGGTAACAAGTCTTGATTTATAATAGTACATCGTCATGTTCCTACAATGTTTGTGTGTTTACCATAATGTAATATTGTATATTTCACTACAATAATTCCACCCTTCATTATGACAAAATGTAAAAAAATTTGATAACCTTTGGATTAGCATTTTACGTATTGGTCCTAGTATAGGAATATAATAAATACAATATGTTTTCTAACACTGTTAGATGTATTTACACTAATCTGTAAACATTTGTAAAAGATGTTACAATAAGAGCATAGATTTTGACCAGTCACACCGGTTATTGCCAGGCCCAATCGGATACTCTCTGTAATCAATTGTTTTAATGTATGTAATGGTCAAATTTTTCAAGTAAAATTTATGTTTTAATTTTTCAGAAATATTTCTTCAGAAACCTCGGTGCAATTTTGACATACGCTCTTGTAGGAACTACAATATCGTCTTTTGTTGTTGGGTGAGTTTCAAACGATCATACAATAGACTTTCTTATCCGGACACCTTTTAACCGAACATTGGTTTAGCTGGACTACACTCGGCAGAAGTGACATCTCTTTAACCTTACAACTTTTATCAGCACATTGGTTAAACTGGTTAAACAAAAATGTTCTTGTGGAAAAAGATTTGAGACCAGTTATCACTTGTCCAGGTAGTGCTCTTCCAAATTTAAGTAAAATATTTGGATAAGTTTTCGAGTGATTCCCGTAGCTTTAGTTGAACAAGTTTGAGGGGATGTTGGTTAACCAGAAAAACCGCGCTCCGGACTGACCCTGGTTCCGAGGTGTGCGGATAAGAGGAAGTCTACGGTATATTAGGAATCGCATACAATTCATGTTGGTCTAAAAGTAAACTTTAATTGTATTTTAAAAATGTGCATTAAAATTTTTTTTATGAACAGAAAGTTTAGGACTAAAAAAAAAAAATAGAAAAGAGGCTGAGGCTGCTGATAAGAATAAGAATAAGAATTCTTTATTGTCATTAGACACAGTTGTGCAATAGACATTGTCAAAGATGTATTTGTGATTGATACAATTCTGCACTGTTAACATTGTGGAGTAGCCAGTATGACCATCTGAGAGTTTTAAGGGTTGAAATGAAATGTTCTTAATTAATACTATTCATAACTTTTGTTATTGCCAGATCGCTTATGTACGGGTTCCTCAAGCTGATTCCCCACCTAAAGGACAGCTTCACCTTCCTGGACAGTTTGTACTTCGGAGCTCTCATCTCCCCCACCGACCCTCTCACTATCCTCGCCATCTTCAACGACCTCCGCGTGGACGTCACACTATACTCGCTGGTGTTCGGAGAGAGTGTGCTCAATGACGCTGTCGCCATTGTACTCAGTGGGTATGTATTGAATGATTTTTGGATTGTTCTAGTGTATGTATGTTTTTTTATGGGCAATATAATTTTGTTTGACACGTTAGACCTAGAGCACCAAGGGGCAAACTGAAGTCACTTGACAATTAATTTGAGTACTAATATTAAAAAACATTTCGGTTGTGTAAAAAAATTTAAAAATCACATTCCAACCCAATCCCACCAAATTAAACAAACTAACAGATCAATTGTGATTTTTTTTTAACACAATTAGCCTACTTTGTCTACAGTTTAAATGTAGACTATTTGTGTTTTTCCCCTCAGACGTAGGCCTACCTTGTGTTTGGAGTGCCTCAGTTCTAATCCTGCCAATCACTTATCTTTTTCTGCTATTTGATAATGATGAGACCCCAAAGATATTGAAGAATTATTGAAGTACAGTAGAGTCCCGCAAACTCGGCGTAATGTGGACTGGAAGGGTGCCGAGTTTGTGAAATGCCGGGTTATCGGGAACTAGGGTTAAAAATAAGGACAATACAATTTTTAAGCTTTTTAACCTCTTTTTTTATATTACAAGTCAGTATTAACCCTCCAAGTGTCCATAGTTTAGGCCTTAATGTCCACCTATTTTTGGCGCATTTGCAAGGTTTTATTAAAACGGATCTGAGAAGCTTAAAACAATGTTAATTCTAATGTTCTATATACCATTTTGTTTGGAAAATCATGGGCTTCAATATTATATATAAAACATAAGGAAAATTTTTTCAAAAAAAAAATTTTTAGGTAAAAAAAATATAATTTCGAAAATTTTCAAAAAAAAAAAAAAGTTCGCGCTCAATGAAATTGTATAAATTATAGGCCTATAAATATTTGAAAATAGCCACTTTGTTCTAAATTTTATGAGGATTACAAATATATAATAATATAAGGAAGTAGATTTGCAAATAAATAAGTTATGGGCAAAAAACTGATTTCAGTACATAGCGTTTAGCTAAGAATGCATATAGCCTAACCATAGCTAGGAATCTGGCTGATAATTTACATCAATATCACTACCTACTTCTTCAGGATCATCAACCAGCACTTCAAAACCACTTAAATCTTCTTATAATGCACCACGTATATCACTACTTTTGATTTTTACTGACTAAACAATATTAAAACTACTTACAATTTTCTACAGCAACCACAACTTAGATGACCATATTTCCAGTGAACTTAAAACTGACAAAGTTGAACCTGGTTATCACTAACCACTACCAACCCTACAAAACTAAAACTTCTAAACTGCTGGTCACTCTTTCTTAATCTTTCTAGCCAATGATTAAATAATATTGATTTTGTTTTGTTATTTCAAATAAAAACTAACTACCATCGGTACAGAATTTCCCCTCCTTAACTTGAAATTACATAAACAAAATTATACACTCTTTCTCAAAATTAATATTTACATTTCCTTTTAAAACAACAACTCTACAAAAGAAAATAAACAAACCTTTTAAAACAAATCATAAAACCCTATCTCCGTTTGACATTTCAACTAGCGCTACCTATCAACAAGTTCTACAAACACTAACTCCTAGTTCAAATAGCCTCCACATGTTTACAGCACCTTACAGAACCTTCTACTCAAAACAACAACTTCTATTTACACAATTTTTCATTTTGAACCATTTCATTTTCCTATGACAATTCAAATGTTATCAATCTTATTTACAAAAATTATACCTTAAAATAAAACCTTTCTTTAAAACCCCCAATTACTTAAGCGATCTTAAACAAGCCTATTTAAATCTCTTTTGAACTCTTCACATCCGCTCACAGTTCACTGACCCCTCCCAACATCAACTCCAGACAAGACAAATAACTTTCACTTCTCCAGTTTAGTTTAGTTATGTCGTTTGCGTGTGCTGTGTTTTTCTTTAGTTTTCCCTTAATTTATTTATCCCAGTGTGTTATATTCCCTGTTTTTATGTTCCCTCGTGTGTTTCGTGTGAAGTGTTTTGTGTTCTGTGTTATTTTCCCTGTTTACAAGTGCAAAATTAATCAAAATGTTATTGTGCGTCCTTTAGTAAAAATCCCACTCATACACTACGTTCAGACTCCATTTTAGATTCATACAGATTCATACTACCTTTTGCTGCCACAACTACTCACACATTCACCAATACATACACATTTACACACTCTCTTACTAAAAACACTTTAAAACTTTGAAAAATTCTTAAGAACCTAAAACAACTCCCACAGTACTAATTTACAAAATTCCAAATTCCCTCTTAGCTTGCTAAAAATCCCTTAACTAATTAATATTTCAACTAAACAAATCTAACTTCTACTTTACAGACATTTCATAAAGACCAATTTAGCTTCAGTCTTCCGTAATCTTCCATTTAATTCCATTTTTCACATTTCCTCTTCCATCAATACATTGGTTACTTTTGGTCCTCTTCACTACTTAACTCTTCTTTAAATCAATTATATGAATTTTCTTCACGTCTTCTAACTTGCTAGGATTTTGTACTAGTACTGTTGAATCACTCAGAAAATAGCGTATTACGTAAGGTCCAACGTATCTAGGTGCTAACTTCTTGCTGAATTTATTCGCTGCATTACTTAAATAATGTGTCTTGATGTACACTTCCATATTCAACTTAAATGGATGGTTTCTCCGAGGATAGCTATATCTCTCCCTTCTTTGATTTCTGGCAATGCTTCTTCTGACGTTATTTATGGCTTTCTCCAAATTTTCCCTCCTTTGATCAGGAGTTAACTTCTCCGAAATAATGTCATTAACATTCCATAAGTTTGTCAGTGCATTGTTACAAGGATGGGCAAACATTAAACCAAAGGCGGTCGATTTAGTCGAACTATTTACAGCAGTATTCAAACTTGTGGCAATCAGTCCCAGATCTGAATCCCATTTATCATGTTGATTACCATAAAAACTCCGTAAAGCATTATTAGTCTCCCTCAAATATCGTTCCGACAAATTTCCGTTTGCTCTGTACGCAGCTAGCTTTCTGTGTTCCTCATAGTTATTGAACATGAATTTCTTAAATTCCTTGGATGTAAAATAACTCGCATTATCAGACACAAGTATTCGGGGTACTGAGAAACTATCAAAAATTATCTTCAATTTTTCTATGATGAATTTTGTCTTGCAATCCTTCAGAGGGTACAACCATACAAAACGGGTAAATGCATCGACCACAATTAAAATGTACTGATTGAGTTTATTTGATCGGGGAAATGGTCCAGCTAGGTCAATAAACACTGTGTTTAGAGCTTGAGTTACAGGAACAGATATCAGTCGACCTTCAAACTTACGTTGTTCCGACTTAGACATCAGACAGATCTTACATTCACGGACTTTACCTTTTACGAATTCATTTAATTCAGGATGGTGAAAACTTTCATTTACTTTACTTTGAGTCCTAAAAATTCCCATATGACCACCAATTAATGAGTTGTGATAGAATGCGAATATTACACTAAACAGTTTCTTGGGCAAATAAATCTTCTTTTTAAACAATAAAACTTCATTTTTCAGGGTATAATTTTCATTATTAGTCTTATTCTTGATGCTTTCAATGATTTTCTTACACTCTTCATCGCTCTCTTGATGTACTTTAATGTCCTTAAGATCCAATGGTATTTCATTTAACACATTACAAAAATAGACTTCATTGTTGATATTGCTTAACAGATTAGTTTCGTGAATTTCCGTCTCACTCTCTTTCTCTCCACTAAACATACGTGATAACGCATCAGCTATTATATTCTCCGAACCTTTTACATGTTCAACTGTGAATGGAAGACTAAACAACCTTTCAAACCATCTAGACAATCTTCCACGGCTTTTTCGAGATTTGAGCATGAAACTAAGACCTTGACAATCAGTAACTAATTTAAAACTTCTTACTTCCAAGAATTGATGCCATTTCTCTACACACAATATTACACTATAAGCTTCCTTTTCGTAAGTGCTATAACGCATCTCAGTAGGTGTGAATTTCTTCGAATAGTAAGCAATAGGCATTATATTCCCCTCCTCATTTCTTTGCAATAAAACACCAGCAGCTGCTAGGTCGCTTGCGTCGGTATGCAATTCAAATTCTTTAGAAAAATCGGCCATTTGTAGTATAGGCGGATTTGCTATCTTACTCTTTAAGGTTTCAAATGCATTTTGACACTCCTCGTTCCATTTAAATTTTACACCTTTCTTTTTCAGCCCAAACAGAGGTAAACATATTTCAGCATATTTAGGAATATATCTAGACCAATAACCACACATTCCTATAAACTGTCGCACTTGCCTCACAGTTTTTGGAGCAGGAAATTTCATTAATGAGTTAGTTCGCTCGGGATCTATTGTGATGCTATCTTGTTTAATAATATGTCCTAAAAAACTTATTTCCTTACAAAAGAATTTGACTTTTTGTGGATTTACCGTAAGTCCGTGTTTTGCTAATCTCTTAATCACTTCTGTAACGTGCTCAATATGGTTTCTCTTATCAGGGCTATATACAACTATATCGTCACAAAAGTTAATCATATACTGAAATTTGATGTCATTAAATATTTTGTCCAAATAATGTGATAGTACGCTACTGCCTATTTTCAATCCAAATGGAATTCTCTTCATACGGAATTTACCAAAAATTGTACTAAAAGATGTTAAATCTCTGGATTCTAAAGCTATGGGACATTGTAAAAATGCTTTGTTTAAATCTATGACTGTAAAATATCTAGCTCCTTTTAGATGCTGATACATATTCTGCATATCTCCTAGCGGGTAATCTACATTGATTAACTTCTTATTGAGTTCAGAGTAGTTAATTACAAGTCTGTCATCTTGAGTCAAAAATGCAGGGGCGCTATATGGACTAGTGGAAACTTCCGCGACATCTTGTTTTATCCAGTCATCAATTATAGCTTTCATCTTCTCTACTTTGGGTGGACTTAAAAAATAAGGGCGGATACTAACAGGTTTATCATCCGTCACTTTAAGCTCAATTTCCAAATCAAGTGCTGATCCTATCTTATCCGTAAAAACAGTAGGAAAATTCTTAATTAACTTCTCAGCTTCTTCACACATTTCAACATCTCCTACTTTAATACTACTTAAGCTTAATTCACTCAGGTTTGTACTTGGAATTAACTTAATTTCATCTTCAGGTTTAAATGTAAAATAACCCATTTGTCGATCCATATTTAGGTTTAACTTGCTTGCACACATAAAAGGGTATCCTAAAATCATGTCAAAATATTTTAACTCAACCACTAAAAATGTTTGTTTCCAGGTAAATGATTTTATCTTAATCAAAGTTTCACATTGCTTATTTATGTTCAAAGGTTCATTGTTTGCAGCAACTATGGTTCCCTGCCAAGTATTTTCACTCATAATTAATTTATTTCCCAATAATCTGTTGTATAAATCCAAGCTTATAAAGTTTTGACTAGCTCCAGTGTCTAACAAAGCTCCCACACTTAATTTGTTTCCTAAATCCACAGAAATACAGGGTAAATGTGTTACAGTTTTAGCTTTTACTTTCTTTAATCCAGGTGAATTTATTTTATTAAAATCCTTAACAACTCTTCTCAGTTCAGACTTAAAATTGGGACTATGAGAACTATATACAGGTTTATTATTTCCGAATTCTTTCTTGCCGTCCGGAAAAACAGATTTGTAGTCTAGGCTACGTGTTTTTCCTGGCTTAACTAGTTTTTTGGATCTGGTCTGTAACAATTACGAGCAATATGACCTACTCTTTGACATTTGAAACAAACAGGCCTCTCATTGTTACGATTTGAGTAGTGACTTTTAGGTCGTTGAACTCCTGGGTTAGGTTTATCCATCCTAGGCTTATCATCAGTTGATAGATAAGGCTTGCTAACACTACTATTACTAACTGGAAAACCTTGATTTCTGAGGTAATCATTGTATGTTACATTATTTAAACTTATACAAAGATGATCTAAGTCTAAAAATGTTTCAGGGTTCTTCTCAAATATCAGTTTGTTGCGCAAATCAGGATGTATTCCATTCTTAATAAAACTAACAAGTTGACTCTCAGTTAAATCACACTTTAATACCTGGTGGTTTATTTTTATTTCATGCACATATATAGACAAAGGTTCAAGGTGTTTTTGAGGTCGAAAAATTAAATCTTGTTTCAGCTTTTCCCTTAAGGTGATTGGCAAAAATGTAGTGATTATATTAGCATGCAACAAATCAATTGATTTTGATTCCCTTTTGAATTCTAATATTTTATTCACTAATGGTGCTGTAGAATAAATTGGTAGAATCTCATACAAATCTTGCTCAGATAAAGAAGTTTCATTTCGGACAGTAACTAGGTTTCTCAAAAACTGCAACAATGTGTTTGTTTCTAAACCATTACACACAGGAAAATTTTTTAAATAAATTTCCAATGGGTTTGACAACTTTGTAAAAAGGCTACTAGGACTTAGGCTACTATTTACAACTGTACATGAGTTTGGTTGATTATTTATGACTTGACCCGGCACATTTTGTTGAAAACAATCCATTTCTACTTTTTGAGGTGTTGATGAAGTGAAGTTTTCAGTTGGTGGAACTACAGATTTAGACTGGTTTAATTTGTCCCCAATTATTTCATGCTCAACTATAGAGTTATTCAGCTCCTCTTCAAAATCCCCCATTTCCTGGTCTGAGAAGGTATGCATTGTTTTAAATTGCTCAAAACTATTTAAGATTTGCTGATTTAATTTGTCTAAACTAACTTTCTTATCTGGATCCAGCTTACATTGTAATAGATTAGTAGTCCGGTTTTGTACATGCACTAGTTTAGCCTTGATTTTAGCTATTTTGAGTTTAGTCACATTTTCCCTACACTGTTCAATTAGAGAATCAATTTGTTCACACTTTTCCCCAATTATAGTTATTTCCCCAGATAAAGTGTACGAACCTTTTAAATTTGTTAAATCGGTATTCTGGTTAATACAAGATCTTAAAGTTTTTCTTAAAGAGTCTACATCACTATCACTCGTTTCTTCCCCTCTTATTCTTATCTCGTACAGAAGTTCTTCTTTGTTTAGATAATTTAAATTGTATTTTGACATGTTGAAAATTTTCAGCCTCTATTTATTTGCTGTAGTTCTTCTAACATAGGCATAATCCTCAATAATCATGTAGGCCTATGTATTTCTCACTTTTACCAGCTTCTAATTTTAAATGATTCACGAGCAGAGTTGCGCACTTGTATACCCCTACCTTGTAGCCAATTAGGTAGTATACTTTAATTTAGGATGAATCTAATTTAAGCTGGTAGTAGAAGTGAGATAAATTAAAAGACAAAGTAGACCAAAGATGCATTTATTTTACGGACGTCAAATTTCTCAAAATACACTTTCCAAATGAAATTAAATATCCAGATGTTACTTCCAAAAATTATACTAAATAATAAAATAGTGGAAAGATCTTACTTTAAACAGAGACACTGGTTTAATGGTCAGAACAGGCACTAGCAGATACCATGCAAACTAGAAGTGGTGCAAAAGCTACTGGACCAATCATAAGAAGGTGAACAAGAAGTGGTAGTACCAAGAAGTGGTTGATTTCTGTCTGAAAACATCACACAAACCCAATAAAAACTATTCTCTATAAATTCTAATAATTAAAAGTAGATTTAAGATCTTTACAACTTCTTGTGAAAATGTGCTTCTCCTAGAACAAAACTCAACAGGTCTGTATAAACTTTACTTGTTTTCTTTTCTTGTGAAATGCAATAAAATTGATTTGAAAACTATTCATTCCTTTTCATCTTTTTCCAAAAGTGATTTCTACAAAGCTATATACAATAAATCAGCTAAAATCTTATTACTAAACTATATTAAAACTACTTACAATTTTCTACAGCAACCACAACTTAGATGACCATATTTCCAGTGAACTTAAAACTGACAAAGTTGAACCTGGTTATCACTAACCACTACCAACCCTACAAACTAAATCTTTTAAACTGCCGGACACTCTTTCTTAATCTTAATCTAGCCAATGATTAAATAATATTGATTTTGTTTTGTTATTTCAAATAAAAACTAACTACCATCGGTACAACACTAAAACAATGATAAACGTAATAAAACACATCAGTCATCGGTCCGGGGGAACCTAGCTGTTTACAAATACACGCACGTCAGCTGTCTGCTACAATATTTTCGGAACTAAAATGAATAGCGCTTAGAGACAGACCTCTGGAGAAAGCTTAGAATATTACGGAAAGAACGATACCTAACTCGATCCAGTTCAATCCGATTCAGTCAGTCATAGAGCCTTCGCCGTAAACGATGTCTGCGTGTCGAAAAATCGACAAGTAACACTACACAAAGTGTGCTGCTTGTCGAATTTTCGTCAAGTAACACTGGGAGGGTTAAGTCATCAGATATAGTACAAAAAATCCTTGGTACGAGTTGTGAATGATTTTACTTGAGCTGGCTTGAGTCCATGTTTAACTCGGACTCAAAATATCACTAATTTTCTGAGCCAGGTGATGGCCGAGTTATCCAGACTGCCGGGTTATCGAGTGCCGAGTTTGCGGGACTCTACTGTAATAGAAAAAAAGGCTTTGGCGATAAAGGACAAGTTGACAACAAGAATAGCCTAGTTGCTGTCTGTTTTGAGATAAAAGTTATGAATCTTAAAGGTTTCTAACATTCATTTGATAACTGATTCTTCTAGATCAATGAACCTGATTTTCTCAGAATGATCAATGAACTCACACCTCCTAACAACAGATTATTATTAGTGTCATTACAATTTACACAATAGACATTTGAGCCTAGTTTAGAGTTTTTTAATGTTTGTGCCATACAACAATTTTAAAGTAACACAAATCCATGCAAACAAGACCAGGCTGTTCATATTGTACTGTTTGTGATGTGTTTATAATAATGTATTTGATTTTCAGAGCGATACAAAACTACGCTGAGAGATACCAGACAGGAGCTGGAGGGTTTGAGATTGACGCCTTCTTCAGAGCTATGAGGGACTTTGTAGGGATCTTCTCTGTGTCTTTGTTCATTGGAGCAACTATGGGCTGCATCACGGCACTTATATCCTTTACTGCAAAGTCTAGTGTGAACAAAAAATGTGAAAAAGTAATAATTGGAAAAGAAGTTAGAAACTAAGTTTTGTCCGATGGGAAAATAAGATAAATTGCAATGCATTTACATTAAACCCTAAATGCATTCTCATTCTGTTAACTGCCACTAGGCAGATAGGTCAATTAATTTTTTATGCTCAATTACTTTTCATCATGCTAACATGTTTGTTACAATGGGTCGTTCGTGAGTATAAGGAAATAGTCTCAATGATTTATCCTGTAGGTAAAATCAAATCAAAAGATCCGTAATCATATTTATAATACACATATTTACATTAATGTTTATAATGTTAAACACGATTATTACATAGGTGTGCACGAGCACACTAAGTAGGCTATAATATTCATGATTGCTAGGCTACACTATTAATCGTACTACTTTAGGTTGCGCTATTTTCTAAATTTTAAGATCCACTATTTGATTTTTTATTTATTAGAAAATGAGTCATCAAATGAAATTGCCATCTGTATCAAAAATTCTTTCAATTTCACTTTGAAACCTCTCTCATCCTGCATGTGATCTGGTAGGTGGTTGAGTTACAATGATTTCGCACACTACCTCCACCTCTCTTTCACTTATCGTTAATGTGTTTTGGTGATTTATGGACTGTATGAACCTTAGATGGATTTGCAGCTTATTGAGTATTAGTGTTTAGATATAACTAGGTTTATATAAAAAAAAAAAAAAAAAAAAAAAAAAAACTATTTTGGGATAGAAAATATTCTTTAGTAAAATTTAATTTCAGGTGTTTAGTTGTTTTCACAAAATCTGTTGTTGGATCTTGACTTAATTGATATAATTAGAAGATAAAGTAAAAATATGTGTTGGGTCCAATCTACTAGAGACTTACATAATGTATTTTACATAGGATGTAATTGGTAAATCTAATACGTCAGTAAAGTTTGGAGGGTTATTTATAGAAGTCAGGGTTCACCTAGCATACATGAAAAATTGAGGTTCAGGGAGATACAACTAAAATGTAACGTAACACAACACCTATGTTTTGTCCTACTTGGACTTTTCCAGTAGGTTGATGAGAAATCCTAAAACTTCTCATCAAACTAAGTACATTTGTCATCATCAGTCTTGCGACTTTCTCTTCAAATACAACCTAACTAGATACTTTTAAAATATAGCATATGTTGACTGTGCTATTTACATTATTGTTGTTTGAAAGGCCTTACAGTGAGAAAACTAAATGAGTACATATGTTTCTTAACTAAAATCACATGACCAAGTTCACCCGAGTGAAGGACTTTCCACTGTTGGAATCTGCGCTGTTCTTCCTCATGTCTTACAGTACGTTCCTGATAGCAGAAGCCTCTGATCTTACAGGTTAGTGGTAAACTTATCATAGTTAAACACAGAGTAAGGTACAGAGGAAACATTAAATGATATACTTAAGTGGTGTTTAGGACTAAGTCCAACACCGCCCCCCTCACTTTCATGTACTACAACGCTCACGATGGACGATGTGCAATAGGAATTTCCGCACAGTGCTCGCTGCTCGGACTCTTCCTTGCTCGTCACTAATATATTTTCGGTACAACATACTAGGAAAGCCCACGGTTGTCCCATAAGCCAGTTTCCTTTGTACCTTACAGTGTGGAGTAGTAGTGTGCTACTTATTTAGTAGTGGAGTCGGGAACATCGCTACAAAAAATTACCATGGGGTTGCTGATTGGTGTTCACCTAGTAATCAGAAAATCACTGGTTTAACCTTGAAAAAGTCAGCTGCTTTATGATGGTAGAATCTGGATCCAGTTTTCCCTAATTCCTGGGCAAAAACAAATAGTCCTGGCTGAAGAAACTAGTAAGTATAAAAGCTACACAGGGCATTTCATTCCATTCCATTCTACATTCAATCTTCAATCATATATATCTTAAAATTGTGTTCATGTGTCAATGTTTTGATAATGATAATTAATATAAGGATGATAGTGCATTGAGCTGTAGGGTGCTTCATTTAGTAGTTAATAGGTAGGTACTTTTAACCAACAAAAGTACACTTATCATCGCATTGTAATTTTTGAAGCTCGTTTTTCCTGTCTTAGTTCATGTTGGTGGCACTGATCGCTAGTGACAAAATTTTGTTTCTATTATCTTTTGGTTAATTTCATGGTTTGTGCTTTACTGTTAGGTGACCAACAAATATTACTAGGGGGAAAGATAGTTTATGATTAGGTCGTTTAATTTTATCAAACTAGGTTTTAAATGACTGAAATAACAAGAAACAAACCGTAAATAAATCACGATCACCGGACAGAACTAACAAGATTGTCTTCAGCTGATCCATAAAGATGAGAAAAATACTAAGGGAGTATGTTTTATCTATAGTGCTCCGTAAGCAGGTTAAACCTTTGCCACAAAATTAGTCAAAATTATAATTACTACAGACAGGACAGTTATAATAAACTAACAACAGTACTTCTCGGATATCTGATTAAACCAATTACAACCGAAGTATTTTTGCAGGCGTGGTGGCGGTGCTGTTCTGTGGGATATTCCAGGCACATTACACCTACAACAACCTGTCCAGAGATTCACGAAAACGCACCAAGAGACTGTTCGAACTCCTCAACTTCCTCGCTGAAAACTTCATCTTCTGCTACATCGGAGTCTCTATGTTCACCTTCCCCAATCATCATTTTGATCCTGGCTTCATCCTCTCTGGATTTGTATCCTTTTCTGCTCAATGTGTATATTCAACGACTGTATTTACACATGTAAACATCACTCAACTGCAAACATTAAAGGGTTACTATCAGCAAAACACAGAACAAGATTCACATTCAAGAATGCAACTTCCTGATGTCATCTACCATTCAACCACATGTTGTTCTCTACTATTGACACAAAGATAATTATTCCAATTTGTAACCCTTTGAACTAAATTTTGATTGAAATTATTTATAGTTATGAAACACTTCTCGCAAATATCAAACTAAGAGCTAAACCAAACATTAGTGTACATTTAAAATTTTAATTAAAGCTTCTAATGTGTGAAGAAGAAGTCAGCCTATGTAAATCAAACAGCAGGCCATCTGGCATCAATGTTGAGGAAGTGAATTCAACCTCATACCATTGAATAGGTAGTACATGATAAAGAGCCTTGTGGGACACCAGATTTATCTTGTAATTGTTCTAAAAGTAAAATTCATATGATTCAGTGATGTACCAACCTTAAACAGTCACAGGTTTGTGCTGCTTTGGGTCGAGCTGCTAACATCTATCCTCTCTCATTCCTGATCAATCTGGGGAGGAAACCGAAAATTGAAATGAACTTTCAGCATATGCTTTTCTTTGCTGGTAAGTTGTGGAGTAATCTGATCCTCAATATGTTTTGGCTGAAAATGAAATATCTGAAAGTTGATTTTTTATAACATGATAGCCTACTGTGAGGAATCCTATATATTTTTGTCCAGGACTGAGGGGTGCCATGTCGTTTGCCCTGGCTATCCGCAACACAGCGTCAGAAGCCAGACAAGCTATGTTGACCACCACCTCTATCATTGTGATAGCCACTGTCATCATACAGGGAGGTGCCACCATGCAACTGCTCACTTGGTTCAGGATACCGTGAGTCATGCTTATTTTGTTATTGGGTTATTAAATAATAATGTTGTGTAACAAAAGATGTTTAGATAGTAGCAAGACCTTGGTTTGTACCATTCCCGTATGAAGAATGTAATCTTGCTTTTCTTAGGATAGTAAAATTGATAACCATCCTAAATTGATCTGAATATTAAGAACTTGGGCACTGAATCTCCAAAGTACTGTACTATCCACATTGTAGAATTGACCTGAAAGATCAATTTTCTTGTTTATTCCATTCACAAAATTTAGGCGGTTAGAAGCTATTCCAAAACCCCAAACGCTTCACCCTTACATTGAAACAACAGCTGACAACTGATCAGCTGTTATATAAACATTAAGCTAAAAGTGTTTGGGGAACCCAGGAAACCTTCCCCTTAAACCACCTAAATGTTTTGAGCGGAGTATAATTTACTTAATTTTAAATCAATTCGAAAATGTTTCTCAATTAATAGTTTCTATGTAAAATATTGCTATAATTAATTTGATCATGTTAGTTTTTGTACTTTGTCAACTCAAAATGTTTCAATAGGACTTTCAGTTTTTATACAGCTAAAAAACTTAGTCTTTTTGTATTAAAAAAACTACGATAATATTAAAAAGTTACCTCTATGTTCAGGCAATTGTGATAAAAAAAAGCTGTGTCTAAAATAGATGTTTTAATCGTATTATAATTGTTAAAAACTTTTGGTTTTAGTATTATAAATTGTTGACAATAGTCCTAACAATTAATCTATGCCACTTATTTACATGTACACTTATTTACAGTTAACCAGCACAGTATAAAATGTCCTTCTTCCACTTGATAGTAATTAAACCTATAATACATGTCTCTTAGATGTTGTTGGGCAAAAAATGTTGTGAAATTTGTAATAAGTAGTTCAACATTTGTAGTAACGTAATGTTTGTATTATGTTAACAGCGTTGGGGTAGAGGAGGAGGTGGAAATGCTGCCTTACACTGGGCCTCGTAGCGTAAGTATTTATGACTTGTACAATCACATTAGGTTACTTGAAATGTACAGACCTATTGTACATTTTTCACTAAAAGGTTATAAGCTGAAAAACACTAGTCTGTTTTTAAAACGGATATTTAATTTTTGTGTGGCAATTAAATTAGTAAATAGTATTGAAACCGTAATACCAAAAGACAACTTGGAATATTTTTGTTTTTCTTCTTTACCACCAGTTATAGCACCATGTTTTAGATTGGAACTATATAGTTTATATTTCAAACAAGATAAACAAGTCTTTAGATTTTCTCTGAGAAAACAAAGAAATGTTTAATAGTAGTTAACCCAAAATGTGTCTATGAAAGCTAACTCTTTGCAACTTTTTTACCCCAAGGAAAAAACAATCATCATTATAGGTTGTAATTACAATTTTTTCCCAAAATTTTCATAAATTAGAATCCAACTTATTTTTTATGGCATTTATTTCAACATAAGATTTCTGGGTTCCAATTTATCATTGATGTTTGGGCAATGGATAATAAGTTATAGGTTATAATCTGTTTGCAAAAACAAACTACTATACAATTTTTAGGTACAAATTTATAACAATGGATTTTAAAAAAGTGTCAAGAGTTAATATTTTGTTGGAATGTAATACAAAACTTTGAAAACTATATGATAAAGGTGACCAAGTCCAAAATCCACTTTTCTAATACATATTTTAGTTCCTCTATTAGATTTTAACATTGTTTAGCATCAACATATTGATTGTGTAAATAAATCGGTTTCCTTGTCGAAAACTTAAACTTTTTCTATATGGAAACTTTGACATGACGATTGGACGGTTACCTATGTAAGATATTACCAATAGTGTGCTGCATGGTTTGGTTATTTTGACAACTCACATTTTGTGTTAAACACAATACACCTTGCCTAGAAACTTAGAAATGTAAAAGGTCAAATTCGTGAAAAAAGCATTGTAGCAGCTTTGCTTCAAAAATGTTGTAGTTAAATAAAATCAATTTTTACCCTACATTTACATATGAAAATCTGAAAAAGGTAGTTTATTTGACTTAATAATATTAATACTACATAGTTCTCTGGATTACACTTCTAATTTTATTACTAAAATATTGTTAAAACTTCTGGCACTATAACATTTTACCCAGTCCCCAGTATATTTCTCTGGAACTATTGACATTGGATGCAAAAAGTAGACTATTCATCCTATTGTAAAGTCTGATCACGGTTTTAATTTATGTTTCATGTTTGGTTTTATTTCATTGCGCTGATTTTAGGCATTTTCTCTTCATCCGAACAATTTACTTGTCAATCATAATAAAGGGTAGCCTAAGCACACAACAATAAAAACAAAAACAGAGAACTGTAAATTCTGGCAATTGGGAAAAAAACCTGGATTGAACTAAGAATTTCACTGTTAAACCTATTTTAGTAGGTATGGGCTGATTCAGATTCTCAGTTTCATAAAACTTTCGATATTGGTGGTATCAAGAATCGATTCTGGATACTTTCTAAATTTGTATTCAAAACAGAGTCCAGAAACTCGTGATTACGATAACATCATGATAATCTCCCGTGTGATTACGACATAGTGGTCATAAATAGATTGTTCTTTCTGGTATGTAAAGTTCAAAAGATAGGTAATAGAAGTTGAAATGTTACAATAGCAATGAAAAGTCTTTAACTCCTTACATATGTAAAAAAAAAATATATGTATTTTCTAGATACTTTTTCAAACTTAGAACATTGTAAATTGGATTCCTTTTACTTGTTAGTAAAATCAGAGGAAGATAATTCTTTCTTAGTTTCCAAGGTGTATTGTATATTCTAGTGTAAAGTATTTGCCATTAACAAACTAGTTGATTCGACTGATGTGCCTTGTTCTGTCCTCCCTCTCCCCGCTTCCCCCCTCTCATGCAGGCTTCATACAATTCTTTTGGACAGGTCGGACAGGTACGTACTTGCAAACTCACTGTCTTGTCTTGTGTCTGTGTTTTACCGTTGTTTACTAATCGCCTTGGAAATTATTCTCCCACCTTTGATACTACTCTAATGTTTCCGGTGTTGTACTAATTTATAATAATGTCTGTAGACAGAGTTTGTTCTTGTAAGGAGCACAGGAATCTCTTGAGCTTAAAATTGTTAACCAAAATATTGGTTACATTGTGTCAAAAGACTTAAAAGATGTTTATTTTTAACATGGACTGTTGGACTTTGTAATGATGTTTATAATGCAATAATGTTATTTGATCTACTGCAGTAAACAAAAAAATTCTAGACAGATAAACAAAGTAAAATTAATAGCCCCCTCCTGTTTGACTGTGATAAATTTTTGTTTTGCTGTAAAACTTTGTGGAATGGATGTAAATATTCTTTGTTAACACTTGAACATGTTTTCCTACACAAGGCAGATAAATAATACATTTTGAGGACGTAAATTTATTCCCTTACTCATCAGCAGAGACAAAACACAAAACTATCATTGTTGAATCAAATTTGTTCATTTACGGCCTTGTAGCAACACGCAACATGTTTTATTGAAGAAATATACAACTGACTGGTTCACAATAGAGTATCAACAAATAGACTTGGAACATAAACATAAAACTCAATTTTAACATAAACACCCCAGCATAATTTACAATAGTTAGGATTAAAAAAGGAGTTTTAAAGGAATCTTTGAAATGTATTAGTGAAACCTTATAATCATAATAATTGTCTGGCAAGTTATTAAAATATTGCAGTAGCTTTCTATTGCCTTTTCTTGAATTGTTCCTAATTATTTCTCAATGACACAAGTTTCTCTTCTAATAACTATTGTAGCTGCGGACTTCAACTCACTAAATTATAGGCTACGAGTACTTTTATTAATGTACAATCTATAGACTATCAACATTCCCATGTCAGAAATCATTTTTGAAAAAAAAATTGTGGCAAATAATTATTTACAAGGTTTATTACTAACTTCTTTAAATCAAAAATTTTACCTAATTTAAATTTGGTGGTTGCTTGTTTCCTTCCATACTTGTAGTATACTAGAAATAAAATGCTTTATATTAGTTGTACACAATATTCCCTACCTTAGCACTCATGCACCTAACATTTAGCCTTTTAGGAGCTGGATATAGTTCTCATTTTCATTGTAGCTGCATGCTGTTTAACATTTAACCAAAAAGTGTTAAGTAACAGAAAAGTAATGTTTTGTCTTTGTTTTATAAATTCAGCACTCGACACCTTAAAGTTAAAGATCTTGGGCCTGGTCACCGTTAACATTAACTTTCACTTTATTCTTACGGTTGTGGGCTAACATCAACATGTGTTAAATATTAAATCGTAAACTAAACTGAAGAACCAACTGTTTAATCCTAGTTAAGTAGTTCGAAAATTTTTTAAATATTTAGTTTTGTAATTCTTTTTAGTAACAACATATTATTTTGCATAATGATAATTTTTTTTATTTGTTGATATCTATGTTTCTACTTAGGAATAGTTGTATCCTCAACAAATTGAGTCATGGATCCAGAACAAAATAGTAAAGCCTGATGTAGATTTTAAAAATATAAAGTGAATTAAATGTGATTGGAGAATTAAAGTGATTGATAAGTTATGTGTTTGAGCTTAGATTACACTAGATCCATACAACTAATAGTTATTATTAGTATAGAATTCATAATTAAATTGTATTTGGCCAATTGTAAACAAGTTACTGTCCTTTCAAATTGTATATATTATATATCAATCAATCAATCAAAATATCTTTATTTCATAATATGCAAACATATAGTTACATGAAATAGAGTCATGGGAACTAAAACTAAGTGAGTAGGTTATTCAAAAAATACATAAGGTTAAATTACATTCTAAATTATTAAGAGTAAGAGTCAAAATCAAAAAAGTCAAGAACAAAACTCCCCGATAGAAAAGAAAGCTGATTGAATTAGAAATGCTTTTGCCAAATTTAAAAATATGTTTGTATTATTTATTTATTTTTTTATATTATGTGGCAAAAGGTCAAAATATTTGTTTCCTTTATAGGTTATTTTTTTTTTAAATAAAATAACTTGGTCTTGTATTATAGCTATGGACAGTATTACCAAATGTTAGTTTATTGTTAGATACTACAAATTTTATTGTTTCAAAAATAAAGAGGCTGTAAACAGTAATATACAAGGGATGTTGGTAAATTTAGGTCCCCGTCAAGCTCCTGTTCCAGCCAAACGAGTTAGATTAAATCTGAGACCATTGTCATGTTCTTTATTTCATTCACTACTATTAAAGCCAGTTCCCATTCATATGCAGCGACTGGTCTCGTTATAGTAGCCAAAAACTATGTCAGAGAAAATTTAAGCTTCCACTAACTATATTGGTGCTGTGATTTGGGAGACAATTTAATAGGTGGAGACAAACGTTTGCACGTTAGGTTTCATAGGTTATTGTTATTAATCAGTCTCATTTGAAAAAGACAATTTTACTACATTTCTGGCTAATCCAAAAAATTTGGACATCCAAACATTATCCGATACTAAATACTTCAGACTCTGCTGTACTAGTTTGCCTCCCAGAGTTTCCTGTGGATGCCCTTATGGATAAGTGATAAAAACCCTTTTTTGAACCTACTTGAGATCAAACAAACTTAAATGATATCAACACTAATATCAAAAGAATAAACAAACCTTTTCCAAATAAAAATTGAATTGAATCAAGCTTGATTTTTAATTTGTTCTAGCTTTTAATTAAAAAATCCAACTATTTATCCACAAACAAATAAGTAACCACAAAATGGTGGATGATCATGGTACTGCTTGTCCCAGGAGGAGCCAGGCAGTCGTCCTGGCAGTTCCCATGACAAGGCGTGGCTAGCCAAGGCATGGGGTGACCTGGACACTAGGTACATGAAGCCACTACTGACTCACGCACGTCCCACACTGCTGGAGACCCTGCCTGTGTGCTGTGGACCGGTGGCGCGACTACTCACCACCACCGAGCAACTAACACAGGTATGTAGATACTCTAGTCTAATTTCTTAAAGCGGGTTGGCTGCATAATTGAGAATGCCGTGTGAGTCTTTTAGGCACTGAGCTTTTGCTTGCCAAATTCAGCCGCTAGGAAAATGCCAGTACTTCCCTTGGGTCTTCAGTTGGTGCAAAAAACGCAGCTGGATTCGGCAGCTTAGATAACCTGCTTTTACTGAAACACATTCTTTACAATCATCTAATCAATAATCATCTAAATAATCACTAAATCAAGTCACAATTTATTAACACACAGAGCATAACAGGAAACCAGCCAAGATTGCACTGTTTAGCAAAACTATGATTTGATTTTGTAGTTGAAAAAACAAACAAAAAACTGTCCTGTATAGCTTATTGTCTTTGTGTGTGTTACACCAGAGGAATTTTGTATTGATCAACTTTTTAATAGTCTTGTCTCTTGGAAGATGTATTTGATTTTTCCATAACCCCGAAAGATGTTCATAATTTGTTAAGAATGTGAAAAATGTTCACGATTTCGTTATGTCCGCCAAAGATGTTATCAATTTTGCCATAACCGAAAAGAACTTTATGATTTCACTGCATTCTGGGAGAGATGATGTACAATATTATGTATAAGTCGATAATATTACAATTAATATTTTAAAAGTCAATACTTTCCAAAGCAACCCGGTTATGGCCCGACCTGACCAAAATTAAACATCTCAGGCCTGAGACCCCTATAAAATTGTGTACAAACTACAAAATGATTATAAAAATTATTAATACAAAGAAATTTTATAAACCAATATTCAGTCAGGTACATATTCTGTTAATTTTGCAGGATCGCACCCACAGGTCGAATTCTGACTCTGACCTATGTTTGGAGGAGACGGAAATTAACGCAGCCGGTGACTCGACTGTCTCGGCATTCCCTCGGCCTAGGGTAAGTCAAACACTACTTCCCCTCTTATAGATGGTATGAGTAATTTGATTTATCTAAGTATCTGTATAAAAAATACATGCACTGAGAAAAAAATCTAATAGGACTAGTGTCTGAGAAGAAAAAAAAGAAAGAAGAAAAATGTACAAAATTCGGTTGTTAACAGTAAAACACAACCCTTTAGTTCCTTTTAAACAAATTTCACAGGACAAATATCCAAAAAGAAACATAATGAACTGTACTGATTTTTATAACCCATACAAATTCCCAATGTGTGAACTTGTAATAGCTAGTTTGTTAAATGTTTGTACACACACTGTGTGGGTAATACAATCGCTTTTAGTATGATGTCCAAAGATTTTGTTTTGTCGTACAAAAAATGTTACTTTATAATTTGTATACCCACTCTAATATGTTAATTCTCAATTTTGCTAATTTTTTCCATTTCTTATGTTGGGACAGTTGCTTCTAGTTTCCGGACAATCCTAAACAAAGTTCTAAACATTTTTTGACTGACCCTGAACCCAGCTGTTCTTTATCATCAAGCTTATAAGGGATCCTGGTGAAGAATGAGCTATTTGAAGTAACACAGGTTTCACAAGCATTCTACACTCATTCAACATTTATCTTTGGCTTGGTTAAATCACGCACAGTAGGGTGTTCAGTATTTCAGCAATTTTCTCACATTTTCACACTGCACACATGGATACTTACTATTTAGCTCAACACCAGGTAGCAAGCGTAGACGTTTTGTATACTAACAAACATTTGGTTTTAAATTCATCAAGTTTTAAGAGCAATAAAAAAATATCATTTAGCTTTAATCAGAAAAAAAAGTTGGAATATTTTTTTAACTAACTTTATCTTAAAAATTGTTATAATTTCAAGTTACTATTAGAACTTAAACTGACAGTTCTCGTCATACTCTCTGAAGAAACATTAGGACGAAATATCAGTGTTATTTTTGGTTCTTTTATTGTATATCTATTAGCCTCTGGTCTCTTAAGTTTCTCAGGTAAGCTGAACTCTATTTACTTCTCCAAAAAATCCTATTGGAACGAAAAGGAATTTCACATCTTGGTTTTAACGAGTTAGTAAAGTCTTTGAGCGATGAGGGATTCTACAGTTAGGTAAGTGATGGGGATACTAACAAGTTGAAAGTCTACTTCAGTGATGAGAAATGTTAAATTTTTAAATCGACCAGTCCTAAGTCAATTTTGAGTGATGATGAATGTTTCTATAATTTAACAAGTTGCATAAAATGTGATCATGGATGTTGGATTGTAAGTTTTAACCAGTTGTAAGTGTGAAAAAGGATTGAATTCTATGAGCTGTAAGTCTATTATTATTAGTCTATTACTATGTGTGATGACCGATTATTTGAAATATGCGAGATGTTAGATTGTAAGATTCAACCAGTTGTAACTCGAGTGTTGAGTGATGAGGGGTGTTAGATTCTAGATCACCTTTTGTGGTTGTCTGTTAACGCTGCCAGGAGGACAGGGACCTCCACAGTCCTGTCAGTGTAGAAGCACACAACTTCATGTAGGACACGGTCAGTGTTGCCAACATGCCATCTGTACAATATACACCCCATGTTTTTCAGTGATGCCAATTTTTCAAGGTTTCGGTTACAGGGCAGTTGCAATTGGCTTAGTAAGAACAGATTCAAGTTTTCTGAAGTTTTTGATTTTAAGATATCTGTACTACCATTCTCATTATTTTCAGTGTTACCAATTTGTATAGGTTTTGGTTACGGTGCAGTTTTGTCTGTGTTATTTTAGAGCTATATAAGAACAGATATTTTTCTAAAGTTTTGGACTTGAAGAATGTTTGCTAACTGGGGAAGCTGGGAGGACAATGTTTTGATAATATATCCACCTCGTGCTAAATATAAGTGTTATATCTAGGGGTTTTCACGCTGTTTTAAATTTTTAAATGTTCCTCTATACAACAAATCATTATTCAAGATACTAACATTAGAATAATGGATTACCGCCAACTCGGAAATATGCCTTAGTATAAAAAACCTGTATTGAGCGTATTATAACATATCTTAAATTCAGTTTGATTTCTATTTTTTAATAAAACGGGGAAATGATGTTAATATTCTCTAATGTCTATGAAACTAAAAATTTAATTTAATAATTTTATTTTTTGTTGTGTTTACTTTTGTTTTAAAACAGAGTTGTAAGTTTGCTCAACTATTTTTATACATAACATAACATAACATAACATGCTTGGACAGGCTCCTTTTCTTATTAATTTTTGATTACAGAAAATAAACTCTGTATTTCTGAAATAATTTATAAAATGATTATTTTTCAAAAATCTTACACTGCAGTTTACAAACTTTTAGATTTTACTACAATGAAAAACAAAAAGGAACATTCTCTACAGAAAAAAATTAGTTATAGGTTGGTGGATTAATTTAAATACATAAGTAAATAATTAGTTAAATTTACAACCTTTTATCGTAACCTATTCAAACAAAATTAAACCACGACCACTCTTTTGACTTATGCAGTAATGCTTTTGCTTTTAGCCTTAATTTGATTGAGACAAGCAATTTTCATAATCAAAAGCCGAGTAAGTGCTGGATTGTGTGAAGATTTTTATAACCTGATGTAGATGGATGTTTGCAAACTCGAGTGTTTGTTTTGTGTGATGTTTGGTATTGTGTTTTGTGTTCAAGTTGGCTTGTGCATCTTACTTTATAACATTGACTTTGAATACTGCACTTTGAAGAACTTCTCATTTGATAGAACATTCTACATAAAATTATACCTGAAAACATACCTAACAACCTACCCCCTTCAATCTATTCACAATTTAAAGTTGACAGGTTTATAAGAAATAGTTTTTCTTAGCTATAAAAATAAATACAGTATTCTGGGAATTTTTTACAGAATATCGATGTTTAACAACACAATTTTTCAGTTGTTATTTGGTGATTTGGGTTTTTAAAACATCAGGATTATCTACAAAGTGTTATATATTTTCTATGACTTGAAGTTGATTTTGGTGAAAGCTATTTCAGTTGGTTGAATGTGCATAGAGTTTAATTATGTAATTTCAATTTACAAAATTGTGGCCAATTACTGTAGTTGACAATAATTTACAAAAAAAATTTAGCCCAAAATGTATGTTTCAATACAATTTCTTACATACTCTTCCTCTTAGTCGAACCTTCTGTGTTTGGTTCACATCCTTATAATATTCTTACAAAACTATGTTTAGTATTTTAACCAAAGACAATTTGAATTTAACAGTTAACTATACCTTTTAACTTTTAGTTGTATTGAAGCGAACATTCTCATTTCAGGAACCCGTTGTGATTAACCCACTGAGGTTTTACACATCAGACGGAGCTTTGCCTTAATGTCAGTTGAGTGAAATGTTGTACTGCATGGTTCGTAGTAGAGGGTGGGCTAGACTTGTACAGTAGTTGTAAACTAACCTCTCGACATAAATAGTACTCTATTCAGCTTTTTTTGCCTCAACAAATGTGGGGGATCTCTGTTTTACATAGTTACACGTTCTCATCCGATGGGGTAACAAGGGGTAAAAAAGATACAATGCATAAACACTAATTACTGCTTTAACATAGTAGGGTATAATAGTAATGGTGAGTGATGAATTTCAAATCAAATCAAATCAAATCATTCTTTATTTTGTAGTATTGTTAAGAATAATACAATGGCGTAATTTAAATAACTAACAAAATTTTGAACTTTGTGGCTTTTTCAGATAAGGTTGTAAGCTTCTCTCTTTCATCAGTATGATTGAATATCTACAACAGGGGTCTCCAACCAGCGAGCAGATTTTTCCGGCCCGCAGAAAGCGAGCATAGGCTAATGAAAAATTGGATTGAAAGCAACCATTGATATCTTTTCTCGCGATCGTATAAACCCCTGTGTTCTGGCAGTCTTGGCGGTACCGTGACCGTTTCCTGCGATCGCATTGTTGTCATCGATGGAAAAAGGTTGGAGACCCCTGATCTACAATATTATGGAAACATGTGTCTTTCAATTAAGGTGTAGAAACGGTTGCTCTCAGTAACTAGTTACACTTTGTGGTGCTATCGTTAGGCTATAATCAGCTGATTTTGTAAGAAATAAATCCGGCAGAAATCAACACACGCAATTTTTAATAACCAGTTGTGAGGTATTAATTTTGTTTAGTATGCACCATTCTTTTAATTTGGCTTGGTTAAAAAGTGTATTGGCATAAATCTGATACATACATCAGCACACTGTGCTCTGAGCTTGGTTGGTTAAGTTTAACTACGTTAATTTTTTTATAAAACCGCATAGAATTAATTGTCAAAGTTTACACCTATTTCATGAGGTATAAAAAATGTTATCTTTGGTGCTTCACCTGATGTCATTTCTTTACCTTTTAGAAAACATATAGGTATAGATTTATTTTTGATAGAAGTTTATTACACTATAATTAGTTGTCCTGCAATTCTTACAACAGCTTATTCTATTGACACATTTTAATTTAGCTTTTCTTTTACAAGATGTTCACTTTTTAGTATATCTTGATCAGCCACCAACTGCAGGGAAAGTGTCATTCAGGCCAAAGTTTAAAGATATTTCAGAACCCTTCTCTATTTTCCTTTGTTTACTCCTTTTTATAGAAAAATATCAAAATTCATGTTTTCGGCCCCTGGAATATATTGTTAAGACAATAATAGGTTTTTTACATACCTCAGTCAAATAGTCCAAAAATGATATTGCTCAACAGCTTACATGTTTCGTTGCGAAGACAACATTATCAAAGCTTGCAACTCGTCAAAAACACATTTAAAACATGAACACAGAAAACATTAATACGGTACGAATACACAATTGACATTTAGATAGCGCTATCATAATACTGATTTGGTCCGGCGCACCAGTCTGCTACCAGCCCCGCGCCGCGCCGGACCAAATCAGTATTATGATAGCGCTATCTAAATGTCAATTGTGTATTCGTACCGTATTAATGTTTTCTGTGTTCGTGTTTTAAATGTGTTTTTGACGAGTTGCAAGCTTTGATAATGTTGTCTTCGCAACGAAACATGTAAGCTGTTGAGCAATATCATTTTTGGACTATTTGACTGAGGTATGTAAAAAACCTATTATTGTCTTGAAAAATATCAAATAAGTAGCCTAACCACTTATCCTGTTTGTAGAATTTACAGTTGTGTAATGCTTATTGCATGCAGTAGATGTAGGTAGAGTACTAATATTGCACTAACTAAACTGTCATTTGCAGGATGCACTAATTTGAGGCATGAGATCTGAAAAATTAGGTTTGTATGAAAAAAAAAATACATTTACATTTATTATCACTGCATTTATATTGTTTACTACGGATTAATGAAGTATTTTGTAGTTATTTCAATCATTTGTGAAAAAATTTCATATTTCAACTGACATCGGTTTTCTTTAAGTTCATGTAATCAGTCCCGATCCATCCGGAATGTCTAGTTATGGGTTGGGTAAAATTGACAGATTAATCATTATTAGACTAGGCTACCTGTGCATTCAATTTCTGTTTGACTAAATTTAAAATTACTTTCTCATGTACTTAAAAATTTTTTTATTTGTACTACCTTTGACTATTGATAGAATCGTCGTAGTTGATGTGAGCCACTGACAGATTGTGCTGCTCTAAATTACTAAATTCTGTCGAATACACAATCTTGTTTACCAAGTCAAACTAATGGAATGACATTATAGTGAGCTATAGCAACGGTTAAGACCCATTAACCTGGTCAGCAACAAAAAATAAGGTAGAAAATAGAATTTTAGTTACTAGCGCAATCTGCCACTGGCTCTCAATAACAAATTGGCGACAGCTGGTCCATATAGATTGGATGTCTACTTTTGTATCCAATAGTCAATGGTACTACCATAGATAAAACATACTCCCTTAGTAGATTTGTCATCCTTATCGAACAGCTGAAGCCAATTTTATTGTTAATTGTGTACGTCCAACTGTAGAGGTCATGTTTTGTTTACAATTTGTTTCTTGATATTTCAGTCATTTAAAACCTCATTTTACCAAATAAAACGATATAATCGTAAACAATAACCTCATTCTCTAGTTATATAACCAAACAGTAAAGCACAAATCATAAAAATAACCCTAAAATAGTATAAATAAAATGTCGTTTACCCCAGCGATCAGTGTGGACGTACATGAACTAGACACGAAAAACAAGCTTCAAAATTTACAATGGGATGAGGAGTCTACTTGTGTTGCTTAGAGCCTTATTATGCGCGGCCACTCAAGTCGCTCGCGACCGCGACTGCCAGTCGCTTGGGGTAGCGACAGGTGTGGCGAGGTCACGCGTCTGACCGGCTTTTTTACAGACATACATGTAGTTTGTCAGAGTAAATAAGTAAAGAAGCTGAAATATTTATTTACTTTCACTTAAGCGTCGTAAACGTAGACAAAACAAAAGTATTGGGAGGAAATCCGTTACTAAAAGTCCGGTTTTCAGTTTTTATATGATGATTTCAACGCTAAAGTGACTGTGGTTTCGTATTTCCAAAAATCATTCAGAGTTTTACAAAAAGGGTTATCACACAAAGAATTTTTAGAACTACTAAGAAGACTCTTCAATGAACAACCAGATGAGTCACCCCCATTCAAACCGCCAGCATCAGTTAACTGCATTGAAACTCAGACCACTGTCCAAACGGAGGCGTCTGTTAACCAGCCAATTATACCACAAGTAGATGTCCTCTCAACACCAGATACATCCTCAATCGAAAATGGAAGTGTTGTGCTAGTGCCAGGCGACCTCACATTTAGTGAGGCACTAAAGCAGAGTATGTGTGTGGATAGGGAAAGTGGAGCGTTAAACATAAGTAATATAAGTAATGTAAATAATGTAGATAACTGTTTAAATAACAATGGTAACTTGTTGAGAAATCATGTCAGTTTTTTAGATCCTCGGGCAAACAGAACGGCAATGTAAAGGGGAGATCAGTACATACCATGCCAAACATAACCAATGATCAGGACAAAAATAAAATAATAAGAATTTTCCATCAAAATATTAATTCACTGCCCTGTAAAATTGAAGCACTAGAAATTACACTTGAAGAGATTCCAGCCGAAGTGGTGGTGATCACTGAACATAAAATGGCTGAACAGGAATTAAAACGGTTAAATATTCTTAATTATCAAGTAAAGTCATTTTTTTGCAGGAAGAATAAATTTGGTGGTGGGGTTGCTATTCTTACAAAAAATGGATTTAACATAAAAGAATTAAGCTTACCTTCAGTACAAGAACTATTAATAGAACAAACTTTTGAGCTATCTCTTGTAGAATTAAAACTTAATAAAGATAAAATACTTATAGCAGGTATTTACAGATCTCCAATAGCAGCTAATTTGTCTTTGTTCTTGGAAAAATTAAGAAATTTTTTAGATATAATATAGTTCACTCAATGTACAGAAACATATTGGTAGTAGGTGATGTAAACATAAATACCATGGCTGAAACAATTTCTGTTGAATCAAGAAAACTTTATAATTTGTTAGGACAGTTCAAAATGATACATTTAATAGATTTTCCTACTAGA